CCAAACACGCTCAAGCACTGCCATCTTAGACTGCTAAGGTTGCAGTTTAGTATACGTATCAAATAAACAAGCAATGGTACAATGAGGTCACAAATTGCTTTGCCGGCCCATTCAACATTTTATAACCACGATCATTTGATATTGCGACATTGAAAATCTACAAAAGAAACGCTTATCAGTCCAAGACAGCAGTGCCCATGAGTCAAAAAGAAAATCGTGTATAAATGTTCTCTCACGTGATCCCTCACTCACGCGCTCACTTATCTCGGGATGCGGGTGTTTGGTACCTCTTATGCTTCCCTCGCAAGTTTTCTTTGAAGTTACAGTAGTAACAGAGAGCACAAGGTTCACTTCGCTCACTGCTGCGGCAACGCTGACAAAAAGAGCGCGCTGCTCACACATGAAGTAGTAAGGATTGTGACAGTAGTTCTCCTATGCCCTGTGTATACTTGTGCGTTCGTTTTAAATGCGGGGCTTTTCTTTATCGCACGATGTCACGCTTCGGCATCGGTGCCGGACACACCCCCACTGCGCATGCTCGAATCGTCTCGTGTCACACCTCGTCTCCCTCGGACGTGGGTGGTGAGTGAATAAGCACTGGAGCGCACGTTCGGAATTCAGTCGAGGCCGTCTGTACTAGGCTTTCGCTTGACTTGACGCTTTGCTTGACCACTCTTCGACGCATTTACTCGAGTCCCCCCTCCCCTCACGAGATGTTGCGGGCGCCTATTTTTGTCTTTCTATTTGAGCGGCGTGCTGTACGTGTCCAGCTGTGACAGTTGTTTGTCCGCACACGTCCCGTGGATGCTCATTTCTATACAAGATGCTTTCTGCCTGAGGTGTACGTTGCAAGCGTCGCGTTGCTTCCCGTTCTCCGCGTGTCAATGCAATTTGTTCCTGTGGCATTTATTCTTTCGCGGCGAAACAATGCACAGGAAACACATAACTACCACTGCAAAGACGCGTTTCACTTTCGTGTTAAACAGATTTATAAACAGAGGGATAGCCAAGTGGTTTTGAAGGTCGCTCGAACGATGAGGCATGCAAGGCTTGCACTTGTCTAAAACGTTCACAGTTCGATAAAGTTTAATTGACCCGCAGGAGCGTTACCACGCCACCGACGTTGTACGCTTGAGAGCGCTGCTTCAGTACGGAGGCATCTACGTGGATAGCGACGTCTTCGTGGTGCAGTCTTTGAGACGCTACCTGCGGTATGAAGCTACCATCAGCTGCGGGCCTGGTGTTAACATGGGAAACATGCTGATGATTTTCCACAAGAACTCGAGGTTCCTCCGGCTCTACCTCAACACCTACCGCCAGTAAGTGGGCACTTTTTACGCCTTTGCACGAAATCGAAGGGCCCTGCACAACCCGGAGGTTGAAACTTAGCTCCCTTGTTGCAATTGTGCACGAGCCTTCAGCAATGGCGCAGCCACAATAATTTTTTACTTGAAGGACCTTAGGACCGAGGCTAGTCCGTCCGGTGTCCGTCACGAGACGGTACAGCACCTTGTAAAAGATTAACAAAGAGTTAACAATAACAAAGCAAAAAGCGACAACACCAACAAATCACTGTCATTTATTCTCTCCTCAATCAAAGCGTATGACAAAAATATTTAACAATAGACTAATGTCAATCATAATTGTGAACGATGTTAAATACCTACACGGACAAACCCTACGCACTGTGTGCCTTCAGCGTACGCTATAAGGACCTTAGGACCCAGCCTTATTGTCGACTCTCAAGTGTCCACTGCGAAGATACTAAGCTGAAAAACCTTGTTATAGTCGAAACATGTGTGTGTATGTGAAAAGAACAGAATTGATTAACATCAATTATAATAGTGACAGAACAACATCAACACATAGAAGGACAAACCCTTTACATTGGTCAGTGACTTGAACGTGTAGGCATCATGGACCTTCAAACCTAGCTTTGTCGTCGACTCTAAGTGTCCGCTGGGAAGGAACTATGTAGAAAAACCTTGTTATATTCGAAACTTAGGTTTGTATGTGAAGAGATATTTACAATTGATGAACATCAATCATAATTGTGACAGAACAACATTAACACCTAGAAGGACAAACCGTTTTCATTAGTCGGCGACTTGAACATAGGCATTGTGGACCTTCGAACCTAGCTTTTTCGTCTACTCTTTTTGCCACATTCGTCACTTCATGTCCCTCGATTTTATTAGTTTAGACAACACACTGGTAGTGCCCGGTTACTAACCGATACGACACCCAGAGCTTCACTCACTCGTCATGATTCATTTTGTGGAGACGCGCAGATTCGTTTTGAAAAGGGCCGTAGTAACGTAGCTACACTCGTGTGATTATTCGAAAGCAACCCCCGCTTTCCTCTCTCTTTTCTTCACTGTCCTCCATTCTTCAGCTCACCCCTCCTCCTGTTCGAGTGCTCCTCCTCACCGTGGGATGAGCAAGCGTGGAGGGGGTGTCGGTGCGAGCAGACACATTCATTTCGCGAATCATGTGATCAGGCGCGAATGCCGACGTCGTTATCAACACCGGAATGCTAAAAAAGAAGGGATTGTTTCTTATAATTTGGTGCGTGCCCAGGGTTCGTAACGCAGCGACCTTCGGCATTATTTATCGTTCCAGCATTCCGAGGTACCGCAATGCATTCTGAGCGAGCCATGCGTCTGTTGATTGTTGTCTTCCTGTTGTATCACGCAGGCTGAACGACTCGATTTGGTACTACAACGCGGGCGTCCTTCCCACGGTAACTCTGATTGAACCGCATGCGCACCTCATAAATCGCGAGCGCTACGGCCTGGAGACCCAAATGTACATGCTGGGCGCCCTTTACGAAGCCACCGCCTACCCGTACTGGCGTAACATCCGCGCCGTTCACTTGTTGGCCTTTCACCGAGGGGAGGCGCCGCTCGACCCCTTGCAGAACGCGGAGCTGAACGAGACCAATATCAGGACCTGGACAATGTCATGGGACAGATGGCGCGGTCCGTTATTTTCGGCACATCCGACTTCGTGCCGCCGGACGCTCCAGTGCTGAGCGTCGCCGAACTCGCTGCCAGAAAAGACCGGGGCGAGGACCTCACAAAAATGCGTCCAGAAACGCGCGGAGCTTTTTCGAACCAGTCTTGAATAAGGCAAAATAAAGCTTAAGAAGCATGATCTGTGCTGTTGACGCACTTAGCTGAATCTCTTAAGCGTTGAACACTGTTTTAAGCTAGTTCTGTTTCATTTGGTCTGATCCATCGATGGACCAGGTATTCAACCTCCAGTGGCAGTGAGCGGGCCTGCCACGCTCTTTTTTGCACGCACGCGCACGCAGACGCACGCCAGAGCACACACAAATCACCCACATACGCGCGCGCGCGCGCGCGAACGCACGCTTGAATGAACGCAAAAACACACACTTCTGGTGCTATATATGTACCAAGTGAGTAATCGACGCATAAAAAACTGCAGAAATTGGTATTTGAGCTTTGGATCTTCAGTATAAGGAAGCCCCCTGCTCTAGTTGTGGTGCAACAGCTGCATATTCTTAGTAAGGTGTAATACTATGCCTAAGTATGTCTTCAAATCTATCCCGATGCTTGACGAGTCATTTACAACGTTAATAGCGTATACTATAGCGACGTCATGGTTCAGACGCCGTATTGAACGACTCCACAAATTTGACCACATGCATTTATTTAACGTGAACCTATATCAATGTAAACGGAACTCAGGCAATTTTTGCTCCACTGTTAAAAGCGGCCTTCACGGCCGGTGTTGCATTCAGTGACCTGATTGTCAGCCATGGAGCGCCCTAATCACCCAGCATTGCCGCCGTGAAAGCGCCGACTAATGTGGGTAAGATAAAGCAGAACATTATCAGTATTGGTAAGATTAGGCGCTTAGGCATTAGACAAGCTGCTACGACTCGCCCACAACTTCACGCTTTGAGTGCCAGAAAATATTGGACATACACCCTAATCTCTTAAGATATATGCACGCTTGGTCTTGTAATATTCAGAATCAAGGTAACCGGCTTATTGTGGCATCAGGCATATGCTATAAGAATAATTGTGTCGTGAGTTGCCTAATTTTGGGCATTGACCTTACTACGCCCTACTCTGCGTTCTCCAAAAAAGTCGCCCTAGAGTCCCAATGTCTAATATATTCGACAACGAGCTGCGGCAAAATAACATCTCATATTGAAAAACTACGCGACTCGTTTAACCTTTGCACTCAGAAAAAAGCAGTGCCAGAAGTTGATGTCCCTAAATTGAGTCAGGGTCTCAGAAAGATATTTTTGCCATTTCCTCTAATCCGAACAAAAGAGACAGAGAGGGACACTGTGGATACAAGGTTGTGGGACGGAGAGAAATCGCAACGCCATTATTGTTGACGCAAAGTGATGCCATAATGTTATGATCACTTTTGCATCGCTCTTATTCATGTATATGCCGGGGAACTCTGTCGTCTCAGATAATCATTTTTCGCGTTTGATCAAGCCTCCGAGGCTTTCCCCTTAAACGCTGGGTCATTCAGTTGGTCAGTAGTTGTGACGGCACAGCAGCTGCCCTCTTATACCATTACGCCCACCAACCATGAAACTATAAGGTACGGTGTCCAGGCCATCTCCGCGGATCCATGGCACGTGACACCATAGTGGCCGGTTTGTCTCGCCTCCCCATCTCGTCATCACACGTATCAATCAATCAATCAATCAATCACTCAATCAGTGTTTATTCAATATTAATACAAAAGCGGTTACAAAGTATTTGGACCATTAGTTTGTGTGGCTAGTTACTGGTCCAATCTAATACATGAATATTTTTTACATTTCAGAAGCAGAGGAGCACATGGCATGATTATGAATCTTTACACAAGTTGAATGAGTAGCTTCAAAGGTAAAATATATACAATGAAACGCACATAACAATAAATACGAAATTGCTGCTAAGTCATGTACACAATTAATAAAGAAGAACTAATGGCATGCATCGCGTAAAAAGTACGAAAGACAGTGACGATTTAGGACACGAAGCAATTTCATTGTAGATTTCCATAACTTCGTATCCATGTAGGCCGGAGGAATACTTCAGCCCTGGTGAGATCGGCGATTAGAGTAGCCCTGGCTACTCAGTCGACGAACGCGGCACTTGTCAAAACGCGGGCTATAACGAAGTCCCGCGCACTGCGGCAGCTCGCGATCTCCTCTGCCCACAGGGTGACGTCTTCCCAAGCTTTCAGCTCGGCATCCGTGCAGAACGACATGTTGTTGTCGAAGATCTGCTTGTGGGCTTCCCGTAATTCATGAACCAGGTCGTGCAGAAATATCACGTTCGTGTACGGGCTGAAGCGGGATGCCTTGGGCCTGACAACGAGACACAGAGGGGCATTACTGCCTGTAAACGTTGAGGCGGCTCTGCAACACTCCTTGAACCTGATCAGAAAACTTTGCCCATCGGTATTCGAGGTTCTTGCAAACATGTGAGCTAAACATAGCGCAGGACATGGCATCAAATCAAAGTTCAGTTTCAAAGTCTGCTATAAGTCAGCCGATCTTTTCTCGGCAAGTGATGCTTATAAGCGCAAATCAGGCTATCAAATCCACTTGGCTTACAACCAGTGGCTTATTTCAGCATCACGCGCTTCATAGTTACCACCACTATGAAGGTGCCACGACCTGCCCGCACTGTGCCCTCTAGCGATATAATTAGACACCAATTACGATTGCACCAGGGCGCTTGCATGTAATCGCACCGAAGATGAGCCGCACATGCAAATAGAAAAAGTGTTCAAGGTCATGAAGCATGCTGCCGCATGTCATGTCTCCCTTGCCATTATGTCCCATCCCCCCATCCCCTCGATGTAGCTTGTAGCTCGCTCACTGGCACGGAAGGAAGAGGAAGGCACTTGTAACAAGTGCCAAATCCTTGTACCTAACTGCGGTTCCATTTGACGGCTTTAAAAAAATCTTTCGCGGCCGTCTGTTCGTGGGAAAATTTTTATCTCTGATAGTAAGGTCACTCGATGGTTACTCGAAAAGCTGTTGCACGGACCCTTGAACGAAAACGATTTATGGTGAACTCTTCAAATGTTTCATGCATAGTTTCAGTAGCTTGCATACCTTATGTACATCCTCTAATCACATGAAGCAGGAGTTTCCGCGAATATCACGCAAAAGTGTATCATTGCGCACTGTGCTTGTTTTGGTGCTTAGATTATTTCTTACGACATCAGCATGTTCTAAGTCCAGATAGTGTCGTTTTGTGAACAGCAAGATTTCGTCGAAACATTTGCAGGCCACAACCTCACACGCATCGGCAACTTCATTACTCTGGTCTCCAAACTACATAACGGCTGGGCACAACATTTCGAATCTACCTCTGTCTGTTAGTTTCCCATGCTCATTAGGCAATACTGATTCCAGCTCTCAAAAAGTGATGATGAATATTTCACAATGATCTCACTGTAAATAACGCTTGTGGTGCACCTCAAGACCTGGCTACTAGGCTTCCGTGCAGACACAACAACCAGCACGTCCGATAGGAACGCTCTTAATTAATGGAACAATGAAAAAAAAGATTACTTCATGTCCTCTAGCGAGCGGCAAATGGTGAGGAGCAATGACGATGATGACGGACGTCGTCTCGGAGGCTCATGAATACGAAGTTAGAACAACGTTTATGGTTGTAAATAACACTTATGGGCTTGTTAGCAAAAGGTTAAGGTTGCCGATACAAGGCAGAGTTACACAATGTGAGATCTTACTCCAAGCTGCTAGGAACACTTTCAATTGGGCCGAGTTTCTCAAAACTCACCCTAAAAAACTTTTAAAGATACAAACAACGAAAACATTTTAGATGCGAAGTGTCTTATGAGCGAGCTTGATCCGGTGGCGTTCGTACTCGACTGCGCATGCGCGTCCCCTCCTCCTTTCTCTTCTACTCTACGCTCACCCTCTCTCGCCTTGTAACACCGACGCAGGCGGTGTCTCCTAGCGAGTTTCTTGTTAAAAAAATTGCCCGCAGCTTCCCTCGGGGGAACACTGAGGAGGATGCGGACCATATAATTGGTTAACGGGGTGTTAAAGTGCGACTTACTTGGGTCGATGGCTAAATTGGTTAACGTGGTTGTGAAATGGGGTGTTAAATTGCGACTTACTTGGGTCGATGGCTAAATTGGTTAACGTGGTTGTAGGAGGGGGTGTTAAATGAGTGAACACGTACACACGTATGCGAAAGGGCGGCGCTGGTCGAAGGGACGCCGATCATTGTGTTTGTGGATTCGTTGGCATTCATTTCACCGCGACCTTGGACGTCGACGAGCCGTACAAACCAACCAACGAGCGGCAACTGAGCGAGCGAGCGCCGACCTTGAGTATATATACAGCACGACGGCGCATGCACTGTGAGCTGTTGAATGTTCTCGAAGCGCGACGCCACATGCGCGTCCACTGGAGAATCAGGAGAATTGTAGATATCGAACGCGGTGTGTAGAGGAGGAAGGGTGCACAGATGG